AAAAAAAAATGCACAAAATGATGTAAAAAAAAAAAAAAGTGGCAAGAGTCTGCAACAGGGACCCTTCACTTATGCACTGTCCCTCCAGAACCTAGATGATTAACCTGAAGTCAAGACCTGAGAACAGGAAGGGATGGCCATGCCATATGCATGTTGCTATAGATACATGACAAAGAGCTGAGAATCTATAGGAGTTATTTGCTAAATAATTAATTAACTTCCCTTACCAAAAATTAAACCAGAAAATTGCAAACCTCTTCCAGTCTCCAATGGAAGCAAGATTGAAGTAATCAGTTTTACTTGGAACAAGCCCAGTGGCTCCTAAAGAGTGACTTTAGGTTCCCAATTTTAATATGGTGGCTCTACAGTGGAAACTACAAGCAGCAAAAATAAGAGCATATACAAACTTTTCTTACTGCCATTATTAAGTGTAAGTTACTTAAATTTTGAGTCTCATCTGAAAAATGGGAATTCTTACAACTACCATATAGAGTATGTAAAGACCTTACAAGTTAATAGATACTAAACACACTGAGTTCAATGCCTACAATACATAAATTTTCAACATATAACAATTCCCTTCCCCCTGCCATTCACTAGTACCTACAGACCTTTGCCACTCCTGGATTAGCCTCCAGGGGCTATGACAATGTCTTGGCCAGTGGCTCCTCCTTCAGGAATGGCTCACTTCTCAGTTCTAGTTGTTTCACTCACTTTGCTAAAAGGATCCTCTCTATACTTATCTATACTTAAAGATAATGCTGGTAACAACTATGAACTCAAGAGGTGCTTAGAGGGCACTTGAGCATTCAGCAGTTTTCAACTGTTTTCTGGAGTTAACTGTTCCTCGCTCCACCACTATCATAACTTCAACAAGGAGCAGTTCCACGTACAATAGTGCTTTCCCAGTACACTATACTGAAGCGAAAATTAAGTGTGTTCACAGGCCAAACCCTTAACAAGATGTTTAGCCCTATCATCAAGACCCCAGAAGATCTGTTAAGTCACAGAAGAAATAAACCTTCAGTCAATTCTACAGATGCAGCCCATTAACCCAGCCATGATCTAATCACTATTATCGCCTACAAAGCCCAAATTTCATCCAATTCATGCTGCAGCTATGACTGGGGTATGAGTGAGAACAGAAAAAACAATCAGGCAATGAAAGTTTAAAGAAGGTATCCTATCTGAGTATGAATTCTGCTTTATTCACTAACTCTATAAGCTTAGTTCTTTAACAATCCATTTTTAAGTAAGAAAATGTGTGTACTGAAAGTATATGCCTAGTCCACTCTAAGTCAAGAGTCACATTACCATCAATGAGGACACTGCACTCACGGCTTGCTTTGTGTGGTTTTTATAACGTTAAAAAAAAAAGTGAATTCCGATCATTATTTTTGGACCTTTATTATAAAGTAGCCTAATGCTTCCATCAGAGACCTAGGTATGAAATAAAAGCCGATGAATTCCCGGAATCTTGGATGAGTCAGCGAAAAATGCCCAACAAATAAAAAGTTTAATGCAGACTAGTTACGCACACACAAAGGTAACTACAATCTCCAAGTCTGCGATCTTGTCTCTGGTACCATTCACAACTGTCTGGAAATACAATCTTCAAAGCAAAGATTATAACCGTTGGACCCCTTCCTCACAATACTTTCAAATCACCTTAATTCAAACTAGAAAGCATAAAGGCAGCTTGATAATTTGAAATCAATATCAAGAATTTCCTGGGGCAGAACCCAAGCTCTTTTCCACAAGCTTAAAACAAATAGCAGATGGTACACGAACATTTCTTAGTGAGAAACTGCAATTCTAACAAAGTGCTGATAACTCGGATTTTATCAAGGCTATTCATCACCTTTTAGTCTTGAATGAAAACAAACTCTCGGTTCTCCCCACAAATACCCTGAACTGCACATTCTCACTGAACTAACTCAAAGCAAGATGCCTGTTTTTGATGATCTGTCCTCTCCTGCTTCATTAACCACAGGCAAATTATGTACAGTAACCTGCTGAACAGAAGGGAAATAAATATTATACCACGCTTTATCAATGAAGCAAATGGCAACCAAGTTACTCAATGAGTGTCTTGTATTCCGGAGAGGGACAAGCCCGAGAAATCTCCACCTCCTCCAGGAACCCAAGACCCCTGGATGCCACCTAGTCCGCTTACCCTGAACAGGCTCACTCATTTCACCTTTCCTCTCTGATTCAAGCCCGAACCCCATCTATTTGCTCGGGTCCTCTTGACCTTATTTCTGTCCCGTTCCCCGCCCACCTCAATCCCCAAAATGTCTCTTTCCTCTGTCTTTTTCCAAATCCCACTTTGACCCCCAAATCCTAGGAAGCTCGGACAGCCACGTAGACAGATGGCCCTACACACCCCCACTGCATTCCCAACTCAGGGCAAGGCTCACCCTAAACGACCCGTGCTGTGGACCTCTCGCTTCTTAAAATCCAATGCCCCACACGCGCTCACACACCAGCGCCCCTTACTCCATTGTTCCCCCGGCCTCTGCCTCTGGAAACCCCCAAACTCACACCCGTGTGTTTCGGCCCGCCCCACGCACCCCAGATACCTTTCACCGGCTAGGGACTCCAGGTCCCAAAGGGTTCGCGTCCCCCTCCCCTCAGCACCCCAACCCCCAACAACGGCCCCTCCCCCTTGCCCTCCCTCCAGCCCGCTCCCGACTCCTTCGTTCCTCCCTCTCTCCCCCACCAACTCCGACACCCGGGACCCCCAGTCTCACTCACCCCGGGCCCCAGCAGTCGCCGCGTCCCCCCAGTTCCAGGCTCTACGTCCCGGACGCTCGGGTATCTGAGAAGAAGAAAAAAGCTCCTCCGCCTCCTTCTCCCCAGGAGCCGCCGCCGCCGCCGCCGCGCTCCTCCCCCAGCTCTGCCCGAGCCGG